TACAGCTGGGGACATCAGCTCTAGATGACTTACTCCGTGGCTGTAATGATGTTTTAGAACATCCCAGCTTCAGAGAACGCATCAGCCCTTCCTCCTTGTTTTCTCTTCCTTACCCCCCACACCTCCTCCTGCTTCCTTAATTCCATATAGCCGGCATTATTGTCTGCAGGATGTTTTGTGACGCTCTGCAAGTCTGTTGCTTGGAGCTGTTACTCTTTGGTTTCCCTGTGCCTAACCCCTCTTGCCCTGTCAGCCTCCCACTGCTGGGAATTCTGCAAATAAATCGTCCGGGATGGGCACTTTTCTGCTCCCAGCAGTGTGTATGTCTCGCTCCTTCTGGGGCTTTCTCTTCCAGTGCTGCAAAACCCTGCCCTGCCAAAATATTAGTCATTTTTGCATGAATTTTAAGGCATTCTTGTGACGAGCCATTTGGCAAAGCAGCTTCGTGACATGCACAAAAAATCTCAGTTGGCATTTTAAACAATCTCAGTGTTGAACACCTGTCAGCAAGAAGTTTTTAATATTAATACAGTTAATTTGGCTGAAACTAGCTTTTCCTGAGTGAGGTGGAGTGGGACAAATCCTGGATCCCATTAAATGTTTTACTGTACGCTGTTCTCAGCTGGAGTACTCAAAAGTCTATGCATACAGTATTTCACTCAGTAGGGTCTCTCACGAGGGATTGTGGCCTTAGTTATTTCAGACATTTCAGGAGTAACTCTGTAGCGGCTGGCCATCTTTTCAGAGGCTAAAATTACTGCAAATGGAACAGATTTGAAGCTCAATAGGTCCAGATTTTGTTACTGCATTAAGCCAGATGTTCCTCACAGTCATGCTGGGCTTTCCCCTCTGATGCTCTACTGGCTTTGATCAAATTGTTCCTGGTTTACGCTGCCATGTCCAAGCTCAGATCCAGGGCTCAACACCCTCTGCTTGGGAAACCAATCAGGCTACGGAGTCTAGTTTACAACAGTTTCACATAAGGGAAGTTTTTTTCCACATGGCTGGAGATTTACTAGAGATCTTGATGGAGAGTTCTCCCTCCCATCTGGCAAAGATTTCATAACCATCTTCAGTGTTACTTTCTTGCACATTAGCACAAAATGTTTCAAAGTTTTTGGTGGCCTTCTGCCCTGTCATGCTAGCCTGCTGGGGAGGGTGCGCACAAGCGGTGTAACCAAACCGATTTGGAGGGCGGTCCCCAGAATGAGAGGTATGTGCTCTAGCCACTAGGCCATGCGATATAAATGGCTTTCTTGCGCTCGTGTTCTCAGGTCCAAATAAAGCTTTTCCCAACGGAAGGATTACCAGCATTTGTGGGGAATGGAGGGGACATTATGAGAGGGCTAGTTTCATCTCAAGAGTCACCTGAGGATTTTGCTGCCTAGATATAAAACACACGTACCACTGGTGACTGTACTAGCTTAAATGAGGAGTCAGCTTTTCCCCAAATCACGGTGATAAAGCACCTGTCTCTTTGGCTGCACTTCCTGAAGGATACACCTCAAATATCCATTGGCAAATAGGCTGTATATAGTTCCATACTGTTTCTGAGTCAGCAACATCACTGCACATACAGAGATATTGAGGCCCTGTGTAGGAAGGAATGCAGAAAGTGAATAAATGACTGGAGAGAGAATGAAGTGAAATGAAAAGTTTTATTTCAGCCTGCTGCATTTTCTGATCCACATGTTTCTTTCATTAAAAATCCCTTTTGAAATAATAAAGAAAACGTTCTTAGTCACTTCTGACATCCCGCAGCCCAATTCTGCTGCACTTCTTGAAGGGGTTTCTCTGTAGGCACCAGCAGAGTTGCTTCTGAAATAAAGTTCAGCTCAGGGACTGCTTTGCAGTCCTTCCGCCTGTGGCCATCCTTTCTTTGTTCACAAAAGCTTGTGCTTTCCCTCAGCTTGATGTTTCATTGCTACCTAGTTGCAACTAAGAGCTCAAAAAGGGTTGGCACGTAGAAGGCACTCAATCTAGGGTGTCTTTAGGGCATTCCAGTGGAGGTGCTCGAGCAGTCACCCTTCTTTCTGTGCCCCTGTCTGCTGCATAAATCCAAAGGTAGAGGTCAGATGGAAATCGGTTTGCTGGTCCCCCATTTGGGTGTCTTATTCTTGCAAAAGATCTCAATTGAGGCAATTCAGCAATGTAGCTGCTACAGCTGACAACATGACAGACAACATGAGGTTGTCTTCTTTAAGTCCTAAGTGGCAGTAGTGGTCTGGAAAGGAGATTGATTTAGAGGCTGTATTAAGGCAGGATTTCACACAACAGAGCAGTTACTAGTTTTGGATGTTACAGCTCTGAATCAAGCCCCAAGATGCCTGAGACATCCCTCATGCCTCTCGTGAAAGGAATAATTCTAAATATGTAACAACTCAGCCCATGTTCAGATGTTGATCCTGGACTCTGTGCAGTTGTTTTGAAAGGTCTTTTCTTGCGTAAATAGATTTATCTGAAGCTTTTTTTTTTTTTTTTAAGGGAAAATCCAATATGTGGGTCAAACCACTGATGATTTGGCAACAAGATAAGAGAAGATTTTAGAATATCTTTCAAAATGTCTGTTTGACTTGCACTTTAAGTAGAACTTATTTGCGCAGATCTATGTTTCAAGCCCTCTCTGTTTCATTTGTAGGCTTGCACTCCTAATTAATTCATAGGCAAACTTTATAATTCCCAAATCAAACAAATGTGACCTCTTCAGCCGTGTACTTTAGTGAGAGAGGTTCAAATCGGATGGAAAAGTACAACGTAGCCTCGCTGTAGGGCCTTGGTCCTTGCCTCATGTACATAAATAGAAGTTTATTGAATATACTGGAACTATTACTGACCTGCTTGATGATTTAGGCCCTAATCCAGACCTGAATACTGTAGAATGCCTCTATCTGCCTATCTCCCTTTTCATTCAAGAAGGGGTAGGAGTGATTGTGAATGTTGATGGATGAGTGCAATGAATACCAAGTAGATTTGCTACAATAATAAATTTGTGACACATTTTGGGACTGTCCTTCAATGGAAAATTCATCATCAGAGTCATATAAAACTAGTCTAGGTTTGGGAGAGGTGAATGGATGAGTGACTGAGAAGGAATTTTCTCTTTAAGTTCTCTTGTTGTTTACAGCAAGACAAATGCACATTGCAACAAGGCAAGACAGGGATGGAGAGTGCAAGGTCCATGTTAGGGAGACCACCTCATCTGCTCCCAGGTTTTATCTGTTGTTGCTTTGCTGACAACTGACTAATCTATTGCCGCACACCTGGCCTGTCTCTTGTTCCACTGTGTGTTTGAGCCTCTCTCTGACACACTGGATGGATCCCAGATAACTTGAGCTCAGTTTAAGTGAACAGAAAGTCTCCTTTCCTTTCCTTTCCTTTCCTTTCCTTTCCTTTCCTTTCCTTTCCTTTCCTTTCCTTTCCTTTCCTTTCCTTTCCTTTCCTTTCCTTTCCTTTCCTTTCCTTTCCTTTCCTTTCCTTTCCTTTCCTTTCCTTTCCTTTCCTTTCCTTTCCTTTCCTTTCCTTTCCTTTCCTTTCCTTTCCTTTCCTTTCCTTCCCTTCCCTTCCCTTCCCTTCCCTTCCCTTCCCTTCCCTTCCCTTCCCTTCCCTTCCCAAGCACCGTATGCTCTTTCTCTGTAACATACAACCTCAAGAGCCAGGGATGTCCTCTGTCCTAACAGGCCCCTATTCTAACGTTTCTCCGAGGCACATCTGTCTCATGTCTAGCAGATGAGAGCCTCTTTCTTTATGACTTCCCAGTTACGTCTGCAGCTAGACACAACGATTGCCAACACTGCTTACAGTATCATTGATCCAAGTGCATCACCCACTTATGTGTCCTTCCTTATACACACTCGCAGTCATTTCACATCCTCCCTTCAGCATCCAGGAAGGCCCTGCCTGGGCTCAGACAGAAGGCACGTGCTTGGCCACATTGCCTATCTGCTACACTCACTGGTAGTGCCAGCCCTGACGGCTTATTCTCATCTTTCTCCTGCTCTGGCCTCTCTGCTTCGTTCCATGAGACTTACTGTATCTTTCCATGGTTTGGGAAAGGTTTTACCCACTATAATTCACCATCACCTCTCTTTTGCAGTACAAACCAAAAGCAACCCCAAAGCCATCTCTACAGTGTTCCCTCCTTTGTGCCTCTGAAGGCTTTGAATACGTGCTTTACTTTGCAAGCATGTTGTGATATTCCAGTACCCATGTGCTAGATCCGATATAAAAACCTATATACAAGAGCAGAGACATGGACAACACAAAGCTCGCTGTTGGCACTCAGCAGAGAAATGC